AAGAAAGAAAGAAAGAAAGAAAGAAAGAAAGAAAGAAAGAAAGAAAGAAAGAAAGAAAGAAAGAAAGAAAGAAAGAAAGGAAGAAGAAGGGAGGGAAGGAGGGAGGAAGGAAGGAAGGAGGAAGAAGGAAGGAAGGAAGGAAGGAAGGAAGGAAGGAAGGAAGGAAGGAAGGAAGGAAGGAAGGAAAGCAAGTTTAATTTTATAATCATCAATTCTGAGAACACTGCTTCACATAAAAACAAATGGCAGAAGCATTTTTCAGGCCATTTCATTACGAGTTGGAAATTATGTCCTAATTTCAAGAAAAAGTTTATTTAATGATTTTGTTTTAAAGACAGAATCTCACTATGTAGCCTTGACTGACCTCAAATTCACAGAGATCTACCTGTCTCTGTCAAGTGCTGATATTAAAGACATGTACCATCATACCCAGCCGATGATTTTTAAAAAAAACAAAAAACAAAAACTTAAGTCAGCAATTCAAACAGGAGGTTTTTTTTGTTTTTGTCTTTCTTATTGAAGCAGGGTCTTCCTGTACCCCTAGCTGGCCTGGAACTCCCAGAGATCCGCCTGCCTCTGCCTCCCTCCCAAGTGCTGGGACTACAGACGTGTCCCACCACACCCGGCCAAATAGGAGTTTTAAAAACCAAGTATTTTGGAGGGGGAGAGCTGGCCCAGCGGTTAAGAGCACTGACTGCTCTTGCAGAGGACCCGGGTTTGATTCCCAGCACCCACCTGACGGCTATGAATTGTCCTTAACTCCAGTTCCAGGGGGATCAGAAGCCCTCTTCTTACCTATGCGGCATTTTTTAAAAAATACTTTATTGCCAGGCGTGGTGGTGCACGCCTTTAATCCCAGCACTCGGGAGGCAGATCTCTGTAAATTCGAGGCCAGCCTGGTCTACATGGTGAGTTCCAGGACAGCTGGGGCTACAGGGAGACCCTGTCTCAAAAAGACAAAAAAAAAAAAAAAATTTTATTGGGGCTGGAGAGATGGCTCAGTGGTTAAAAACACTGGTTGTTCTTGCAGAAGACCCGGTTTTGAATCCAAGCACCCACATGGTAACACAATAAAAAAATAAAACACATAAAACAAAAATAATAAATAAAATAAAAAAATTTAGTTATTTTTCTTTGAGATATTTATTTATTCATTCATTCATTCATTCATTTTGAGACAAGGTAAGCCTGGAACTTGCCATGTAAACCAGGCTAGCCTCAATATTTTTATTTTTATTTTTTAATTTATTTTTTGTCTTTTTGAGACAGGGTCTCCTTGTAGCCCCAGCTGTCCTGGAACTCACTATGTAGATCAGGCTGGTCTCCAACTCATAAAGATCAGCCTGCCTCTGCCTCCCAAGTGCTGGATTAAAGGCATGCACCACCACACCTGGCAATATTTTGATTTTTTTATTGTATGTATTGCCTGCATGTAGGTAAGTGCACTGTGGGGTCTCTCCCTCCCCTCGTGGGTTGTTGGCCACTGATCCAGGAGAACAAAAGGAGCAGAAGTGACAAACAGGGTCAGGATGGTCAGTGAGCACTGACGGAAGAAAGCCCTTCGGGGCAGGCAGGTTCAGTGATACAAACAGCTCCAGACTCAGTGAAACACCTCCATTTATTCAGTGAGGGTTAGGGAAAATATAGTGTGGAGGCAGTAGCCAATGCCTCAGCTGATAGGTGCTCATAGTATGCTTTATTTACATGTTGTAGGGGGATCCTATCATCTGGCTACAGGGCAATGCCTAATTATCATATAGAAAAAAAACCTGGGGGCAGTTTTATTGCTGGTAACTATGCCAAAGGTCATGTTCCAAATAAGGCCAGGCATCTGTGCTTGGAGGCACTTTCCAGGTAAGTCAGGCAGGAAGCCCCTCCTGAGAAAGTAGCAGACCTTAACAGCAGGGTTCCCCAACAGTGGACCTGTGTCCTTGGAGGACAGAAG